GCTCGTTTCCCTCCAAAATGTCGGATGTCCTTTTGGGTTTTCTTTAAACAGCCAAAAAGGGGGCCCCCGCAAGACAGACTCATTCTGCCTTAAATCTTGTCCCAACCATTCGATCTGGTTTTGAAGAGAAGAGAAGAGCCATGCTTTTGGGAAGCATGTTTGTGAATTGCCTTCTCAGTGAGGATTGCTTTCTTCCTGGGGAACAACAAGCCCTGTTGCAGTAGTACCTGAGGGGTTTGGCAACCCGAGGTTCACATACCTCGTGTGCCTAAAGGCTTTGCATCCCCATCCCCAGCAACTCTTGCATGTGATTCGGGGGTATGTGCCCCCCTCATCCTTTCATCAGAACCGCTTCTAAGAAGGTTCCAAGAGCCTTTCCTGGGGGGAGGGGGGGGGGTTTGTGCATGAATCGCTGGTTGCGTGGGGCTCCTGTTGAAGTCATAAAGGGCTCCGAGCTTTTTTTACTTGAGGACCTCGAAGCCTAGGAAGACAAGGCATAACTGTTTTGTTTTTCAACCTTCGAGGTGCAGCGGGAGGTGAACGAGCTCATCTTTGAGGCATCTGTGCAGAACAGCGAGGAGGACGGCGGGGACCCGGTTCCGTGAACTCATTCCACCCTTCCCCTTTTGGGTCGTTGGGTGCTCCACTGGTCAACCCCAAAGGATCTCTTTTGAACTTGGACATTCGCTTACATTTGAAGCAAACTGGGTGTGTCTTTTTCTTGAGGCTCGCTGCCCTTTTGTGGTTTGTTTTAGGGGCAACCCAAACAGAACCCTGATGGACGACATCCTGCACCAGTTAAGAGGTGGTTTGTCCCAATATTCATAGGGTTTCCTTCACCGCTTTTGTGTATTGGATTTTGTCCATCCACAGTATGGAATTGAATCGGCTAGGATATGGCTTAAAACTAGGGAACCCCAAAATGGTGGTTTCCTTTGGTATTAAGTTCAACCAAAAGGGAGTTATTAATCAACCAAAAGGGAGTTCCCTATAAAAAGACACACCCAATTCATACCCAATTCACTTCCTTTAGGAGGAAACTGATCTTCCAGGTACCTTAGGTGCTATGTTTGTTGAAACCCTGGAATGATGAGTCCCTGAAAATACGAACAAGCCTCATGTGTTCCTTCCCATGGTGTCATTCAGTCCGAGAATTTCTGGATGACTCGATCTCAACCATCCACAGTATGTTGTTGGAATGAGTTGCATTTGGACCCGTCAGGTTTTCCATGCGGAACTCTTGAACCCTCGGCGAATCCGAGGACGTGGTGGAGCTGGTGAAGGCCTACAGCGTCTCCGGCCAGGGGACCAAGGACAAGCACCTTGGCCAATCGAGGGCGGGCCTTGGATTTAAGTTCCAAGCCGAAAGCCAGGGTTTGGTCGATCTTCCGAAGTTGTCTGTGAGACCCAATCTGTCTCCGTTGTTCGGCCCGGGCTTGTGAGATGGGAGTCCTTTTTGTGGACCAAAAAAGACTGCGTTAACACCACACGGCATAAACGCGAGCCATATAGAAAGCAGAAAGCACCACCGACATCCTGATTCCCATAGGACGCGCCTGTTGAAAGGGAAAGCAGCATGCGACCGGATGGTCACGTTGATTCTTCAGGGTGAAAGTAAATTGTACAATTCCCTTCATGTGAGTAAGGAATCGGAACACTAAACAAAAAGGGACTCGTGCCATCTTTCACCCAACTGTACCACTGCAGGTGAGGATTTCTTACCAGGTGAGATTCTTAATTGCCATAACTGGAAGCACTGGGGTTTACGATTGTTTTTAAACTTGCTTTCTTCGTGCCCATGTTTCTTGAGGTGTTTAAAGGCCAAAAGTTGGAACATGTCTGCCCGTTCTTGGGGTGTTTAAACTTAAGGAGATGTTGTATCTTCCCGTTTTGGTTCTAATTACAGGGAATCTATCACTACCGATTTTTTGTCTTTCTCAGGCGAAAAAGCAAGTGGAGATAAGTAAAAGGATCTAGGGAGCCTGCCTGCCCATGTCGGGGTGCCAGGGGACGCGCGGTCGCTTCGCCTTGTTCGGGGCCACGGTCGCCTCGAAGGAACGGCCGCAGCGCGCTGCACTACAGCCTCCACCACGGCGCGCTGCGGGCCTCCCGGGCGCTGCTGGCTGCAGGATCTGACCCCTGGCTGGAGGACGACCACGGGGCGCCCTCGAAAAAATTCATCGATGGGGGGGGGGGGGGGGGGGGGGAGAAGTGAGCGGGCCACTTTTTGGACTACCCCAGACTTAAACGCAGGGGTTCCCCTTTTGGGGATGAACCACCGGGTGTCTCACTTCCTGAGTTCATGGGCCTTGGTCGTTTTTGGGCTGGGCCGTTTTTGATGAGTGGCACAAACAGTTTGGACTGAATCCACTCAAAAACTGAGGTGTGCGCTGTGCGCCCTTGAGGGCGGAGTAGCTAGGGGAACGACCGATATGTGTCTTGTTTTGAGGCTACCCCTTTTTGGTTGGTTTTATTGGACACCCAACTGGAAACTCGCTTCCCTCTGCAAGAGATCCACCCCTTTGGTTTCAACAGGGAGCTAGTTTGCATGAATGTTAAGAGTTGAAACCACCATAAAAGTGGTTGGACAGGAACATGTTCCCAAATGTACCAAAGATCTGTAGTGCTTGGTTTCCTTTTTTTATAGAATCCACCCAAAAAGGGAACTTGTCAGAAAAAGATGACGAGGGGGGTGCTCCTGGAATTCCATTCGTTCCATTTTCTGTTTTATGGGGAACACTGGAAGAATGGGCACTTTCCCGGATCCCCCCCACCCACCCCCTGAAGGTACGCAGGATGTAAGTTCTGTTTCATACTGCGGATGGAGGAAATCCTGCACCACGAAATGAAGCCATGGTTGAGACCAGTTGTTGGTTTTACATGGGAATCATATCATTCCCTTCGGTTTCTGAACGGTGCGAAATGGGTTTCGACACCATCCATCAGGAGGTGCGGGTGGTGGATTCTAAGATGGAAACCGCACTGCCCGCCCCTTCAAATGGTTGTGGTGGTATGGAGGTTGTGGTCCACCAGCTAAGAAACCCTGGAATGAGTCGATTCCCCAGCATAAATACCTTAGCAAACGCTATGGGTTCCTTCCCATGGTTTCACTAACCGTGGTGCGAGAGGCTCCTGGATCACTCAATTTGCACCCATCCACAGGTGTCCCATGGAAACCCCACTGCGCCCTGCCCGCCCAAATGATTTCCACCGCCCCCCCCCCAAATGAGGTTGTTTCACAACCATCCACAGGTTTGTGGGTTGTGGATTCAAAAATGGTTTCCACAGCCCCGCCCCCCCCATTTGGGGCTGCGGCTGTTCAGACCCGACGGTCCGGCCCTGACGAGCGAAACCCAGGTGCTGGGCTTTGAGCTGTCGCTGAAGAACAAGGCCTGGGCGGCCTTGGAGCTGGTGCTCTCCGCCATGCTGCGGAAGGACCGACCGACCCGCGGAAAATCCGTCGCGGCGTCGTGTTTTTGGTTTGGCGTCCATTGGCTGAAATTTGAATAGGTGCTTGTTAATGATTTCCTGTTGGTTTCAAAGTAAACCATGTGCGTCTCAGAATATGTTTGTTATGGTTCACCTGATCTTACAGGGAATCTATCACTACTGAAACGTTTTTTTGCGCAGGAGGCTGAAGCAAATGGAGGTCCGTCATTTTTGCGAGTGCGTCTTTTTTGGAGACCACCCAACTTCACCTCACTTTCTGAGTTCCTGGACTTACCTTTCGGCATCGCTTGAGTAAATACGAAGCTCAGACTTTTGGCCAATCCACTCGATCGGACGTGAGTCGTCATAGTGCGTCTTTTGGGGGACCCTGCACGGGTCAAAGTCTGGGGTCGGTTCCCTCAACCTACCACTTGGGTGACGATGACAAGAGTCTGGGACCCCGACTTTTTAGTCCCTGCTGTTGGTTTAAAGGGAATCGATCACTGCTGAACAGGGTTCCCTATATGTCCCTTGGTGGTTTTCAACATCACCTTTAAGTCCGCTTTGTAGTGAATTGCTCCCCAAAATCCTTGGTTTGTTTACTTGTGTTGCTTTTATGTGTGCCTGTTGGTTTTAAAGGGAATCTATCTTTTTCAGTTGGTGCTCAGAAGGGCATCAGGGGATCCCTTAAAAGACACTGGCTGATATTCAGCGGAATCATCGTAATATGTGCTAAAATGCATTAAAGACATGTTTAGGTACTTTGTTAAGCTGGTGTAAAAAGTTGCAAATAACTGCACAAAGTCACTAAGCATCCTTAGAAAGAGACACCTATTTCGATCTGGGCGAGTGAAGACAGAAAGCGCGGAGTCCGTGCCTTGTTGAGAGATTGAACTGATGGAAGCCTCCTGATGGACGAGCACCTGAGCAACCCTGGAATGATGATTCCCTTGTTGCCAGCAAGCAATGGTTTCGACCATGGTTTCAAAGTGAGTGTCATGATTTCGTCCATCAGCGTGGTGGGTCCCCTTCCTTGGAATCCGACTTTCTTGAGTGCCGCGGAACCTTCTTGTATTTATGTAGGCCCTTACAGCGCTTACAGGCTGTTGGAAGGTGTTGAGGGACTCCTTAGTTGATTCAAGTCGGTTTGCGCTGTCTTGTGGGGAAACCCGAACGCATGTTGGATGAAGCTCAACGAAGGATTCCTCAACGGTTGGTGGACTAGAATGGCTAATTTGAGTTGTCCTTTACCAAACGCCGATTTCAAGCTTTGCTGTGTTCGACGGAAGTAGTTATGGAGATACGCATTTTTTCCGTTCGTGTGAGCAGTTTGCACAAGAGGGTGTCTTTTTAGGGGACCCCCAAAATGGTTTAGGTCTTCCTTTTTGGTTTCCCTTAAAAAAAGCAAGAAGAAAAGAAGAACAAAGTGTGGCTACCACAGAGTTCCATTTGGGGTACCTATTTTTGACCAACGCCCAACTCACGCCCATCGGGTCGTGGTCAGCATCCCCGATCTGACGTGCCGGCAGGGCCCCCGCACGCGCAGCCGCTTGGCGCGGCTGGCCCAGAACGTGCCGTGGTGGTGCGCCAATGTGGCGCCTCGGTAAAGGGGCCAGTGAGCCTCAATCAAAAATATCTTGGTAATTCCCAGCTGTCCCGCTTCCTAGGATTTTGGTTGTTTATAGCTGGTTTAGTGATGATTAGCTTTTAGTTGTTTCTTAGTTAGGTTTTGAGTTGGTTTAGTTGCTTCAGTCGGTTTTCTAATTTAGTGGTTTCCGCTTAGTTCACTAAGAGTTCAACTTGTTGCAGAGAATCTGAGGACAGGACAGTAATTATTTAATGGTTTGGACTGGTGGTTTGGAGGTTGGGCGCGTCAAACAGAGTGAAGGGTTACAAATGACTGAGAAAGCGGAAGGCAAATCACCTAGAGCTTTCCTCAGCCAGGAAGGCAAAAGGCAACCATCGTATAGGTTTTCCATGTTGATTTCCCAAGGTAGCCATTGCAATCTCTAGAAACGGGAAGGTCCTCAGTCAATGGAATTGAAATGGATAATTGTCCACTTCTGGGTTCCACGGTTGCAAATGGTCCTGGCTTGGTTGACATACCATGCTTACGAATGGGCACCCTGGATTAAGCCCTGGTTGATTGATCAGGGTCCCCCTTTAGTGGGGACTCAGACCACTTTTGGAGGGGCCAAAACCACCCCTATTAATGGGCCGGGTGTAAAGCAAAAAAAGGGGGGTCCACCTTCCCCGCCGAGTGGAAAGCTATGACCTGTGGGCTGTTCTTGTCACCGATCGGCCCTCAAAGGCGACTCCCAGACCTCCAGTGTCCTGTTGTTTCTTTTTTTTGGGTGGGTGTCTCATTGTCAAAGTCCGCCCTGTAGGTCTCCGCCCCCAGTTGAACTCTGCTTCGCGGAAAATCTGTTGAAAGGCCAACAAACAATGGGTCCCTTTCCACACAACCAGGGAGAGAGCAGTGCACCCGCTTGCGAAGGCCTGCGCCATGTTTGTTACGCCTGAAAGATAGTCCCAGTTTCCAGTTCGGGAAATCATAGCAATTGGCGCAGATGGATTTGTTCGAGCTCCACCAAAACCCCCTCGAGTTGTTCCATGGACGTCCACAAGTTGGCCTCACCCAAGGGGCCCATGGAATACAAGGTCCCCCAGTGCCCTTGTACCGTTTCTTTTTTGGGGGAGGGTTCCCCTAAAATCGACAGTGCTCACCTCTCTACGGGACCATAGCTCCCTTTCGAAGGCCCGGGGCGTTTTAGCGGTAGAGGTGCGGCTGCAGTCGGGCGACGACCTCTTGAGGTGGAGAGAAGCAGGACGAGTCGGGCGCGGGGGTTTTGGGGGGTTCGTTTGGGCTGAGTGCCGGTCGCTGGTCGTTGATCAGCTTCCCTTTGCTTAAGCATATATGTTTTTTTTTCCCTTGCTGGTTTTAAGGGGAATCTATCACTACTGGACATATTGTAGTTTATTTTGTTCCAGGGGCTTAAGCAAATGGAAGTAAGGGAATGAGGGAATGAACCGTTCGCGGGTCCCCTTGAAAGGAATCCACAAGGCATGGTTTTTAGGGGTCATTCCCTCATTCCCTTCTAGGTTCCGAAAGTGGTTGTTCAGTGGTCTCTCTACGGATGGCTTGGGCATGCCCAGCCCCTCCCCCTGGTGCTCACTTCTCCAAAGCGAATTGACCTTTTACGCCTGTTTCTCTGGTCTGTCAAGCTTCCTGAAATATGTCCAGGTCCGTGCAAGGGGTAACAGCCTGAGGACGGCTCCTGGTGATGGTGCTGCGACACTATGAGGCGAGCCGATTGTAGCTTTCGCGCCACTGCTTTCCCGCATCTGTCTTCAAGTAGCTTGAACCTTTTGCAGATGGTTTTCAAGGGAAAACCAAAGGACACCTGCCATTTTCGGGGTCCCCTCACACAAGCTCATGTGTCAACGGGGTCCAGCCCTGGAGATTTGACTGGTTGACCTCAACTAAGTGGCTTGTCTTTTTGTTGATACCCTTTTTGGGTGGGTGTTAAAGGAGAACGAAAGAACAACCACCACCAAGTTTGAGGGTCAATGAGTTTGAGACCCCAAGTAACCACCATGTGTCCCTTGTTCCTTTAGTTGTCCTTGTAGGAATTCCGTGGAAAGATAGACGGGCTCCCTCTGGAGGTATGCGAATCTTGTTCACAAACAGGTGACAAAACACGCAAACTTGCTTCACACCTCGACTCATTCCCCACTGTTCCACTTCTGGGGGGGTGGTTTCCATTGCCAAACCCCCGCTCCTCCAAGCCTATTGCAGATTCCAGGCGAAATCGGAAACGGACAGGAACACCTTCATTTCGGGACTTTTCCTGTCCAACCAGCCTTGGCCCCCCAAAAAAAACACCAAAAAAAGGAACACCCGCTTAGAGGCCCAAACAACCAGTCGACTCGGGGCCTTGACGCGACGCGTCGGCGCCTCGTTTCGCGATTAGCGAGGCGCTGCAGCTGTTGGAGCCTTACCTCTTGGAGCTGGCCCAGACTGGCGACAGCAAGGCCTTGCGCGCGCTCATCGGCGCGGGGGCGGACCAGGCCGGGTGGTTTCGCGGCGGGAAGCGGAGGGGGAGGGCCTGGGGGGGGGGGAGGGGAAAAATGGAGAAAGTAGGGGCCCTGAGGGGAAGCCTGTTGAGGGTTGCCTGTTCTGGTTTTTATGTTCATCTCAAATCTGTGTTCCCCCTTATTCGTTTTTAAAAGAGGGTTTTTAGGGAGCTTATTTATCGTTTTCGTTAAGGTAATCATTTGGGTAAATTGTCGCCTTGTTCATTGTTGGGCTGGGGGCCGACATTTTTTTCATTTGAAAGAGTTGGCCCTTTTAGTAGTTATCAAGTTCTGGGGTGTTGGTGGTGCATTTGTTTTGTTAGTATGTTTCTCACGAATTTTCATTTATAGGTTGAAAGTTCAGTATAATTATAACATATAAGAATATAAATGTTATAATTATGGTGTAGTTATGAATTACACAGGTTCATCAACAATTAGTTTAAACCTTATGTTTTGTACTCCTTCAAAATTCATTCTACTTCTTGCATCTTCCATACGACTGTCTATTGTTTGATGCGCCACTCTCATTACATCAGCTATATTATCTATGGTTATATTATCTACAACATCATCACTACGAAAATAAAAACTAAAAGTACTAAACTTATTGTCTTCATAATAATTGAAATGATGAAACCTTACAAACATATTTACCTCAACTATTATAACTTCTCCATAACTGTTATCGGTTTCAATGCCATCTAACAAAAAACCTAAGTTTTCATTTTCATTAAAAACTATATCTTCAATGCTTTTAATGCTTAAAGGTTTATTTCTTGAAATGTAATACTCAATTACGTGTCTCTTTATATCATCACCACCTACAGCAGTTCGACGCTTTGTCTTTCTTTTTGTTTCTGTTCTGTTTATTTTATATTGTTGTTGTATTCTCTTTAATGTCTTAATATGATTATGTTTTATTTTCAAATACTCAGGTTCCCCTAATTTATATGAAATGATACCTTTTAATACATCAACAGGTAAGCTATCACAATTCTCAACCATAAAATTATTATCTGACATTTTACCCCCACTCATTTTTCTCTTAATATATAAGGTTTTTTCTCTTTAAGTAGTTTTGGCTAGGGGTTGCTGGTCGGCTGGTCTGGGTTTCAGGTTTAATTTAAATGTCTTAACCTTCTTTTTAGATTATAAAACAATGTTTAATCATATTATAAGATAATAATATTAATAAACAAAAGTTAATTTGACCCGAATTCAATCTCACCAGCGATACAACCACTATAACAACTCATACTATACTCACAACAATAATGCTCGTATCCTTTTATTAATTGGTCTATGTAAATTTCAATTAATTCGCTAAGAATATGTCTCAAATAATAATTGTTATTTCTATATGACCACGAACTGTTTAGGTTTGGAAAGCTAAACCTACAACGTTTAAATTGTTTTAAAGCTTCAATGTCAATACATTTTTTTAAAATGATACAAATTTCATATTCATTATTCTTACAGTATGATTTTAAAGCTTGATAATACATTTTTCTATTTTTAAACCGTTCTTTAACTTCTTGTATATCAAATACTCGGTCAATGTGTTTTCTGTAATGTCTTATTTTTATACTATATTGGTTTTCTGCTAGTAGAGTAAAAACATTATTTTGCATTAGTTTAATAACTTGTAATTGAAGTTCTGCTTTTTCCAGTCCTTCTTCAGGAATGTCTTTATTTCTCATAAAATGTTCTTCTTCATCTCTCAAATACCAACAATCAAAACATGTTGGTTTAATATAACCACCTATAAGATTACAAACATCAACAGGTAAAATATTAGCTAGTGCCACGACAGACTTGAATTGTTATTTTTACAAGGACAATTATCATAATTAAACAGTGTCATTTTTTTTCTCTTACTATATTATATCCATTTTTCTTTAAGTAGTTTTTATTTTATGTTGAGGGGTGGGGGTTTATATTGAAAAAATATTTTCTAACAATTTAATATAATGGCGAGATTAACAAAAGACCAAATAATCAGCAACATCTATTACGACTTAGACGAGGGTTTCGGAAGCACACAAGCGACACACAAGAAGGCAAAGGAAGAAGACCCAACAATAACATTAGACGATGTAAAGTCTTTCTTAAAGAAACAGCCAAATAAACAAATCAAAAATTATAGAGGTACTAATTCCTATACCGCTCCATTCGCACGATATGAATATCAAATAGACATAATGCATATGTCACCTTTAGCAAAAGACAAGAATGTTCCACAGTATGCTTTAGTCGTGATTGACATCTTCAGTAAATTAGCTGATGTAATACCGATGGAGGAAAGAGACGGAGAGCACGTTTTGAAGGCGTTGAGAACAAGCTTTAAAAAGATGGGTTATCCGATGTCCGTGTATTCTGATGACGACGGAGCGTTTGCAACTAAAAATCAAGTTCAGGATTTCTTCAACAGTGAAGGAATAAACCACATCGTCACGAAGACCCACGCAAATGTGGCCGAGCGTTTTATTAGAACGATGAAAAACAAAATTCACGATAGAGTTAGGTTTAACAACATGAAATGGACCGATGCCCTAACGCAAGCATTGAAACAGTATAACAGCACATCTCACTCATCAACAAGGATGGCACCGTCTGAAGCACACAAGGACGACAATGAAATAAATGTAAAGGTCAATCTTAAACTACGAGAAAAAAAACAAAAGAAAGCATCCCAAAATAGAGGAGAACGACAAGGTAAAAGTATTCCAAAAGAAAAGGGGTAATTACACCGACAGAAAGGAGTATAACTCTAAATGGTCTAATAAAATATTCAATATCGATAAAATTGAATATGATATTATGGGTAATAAAACTTACAAAGTAGCAGGAATAAACAAACCGCTTTTGAGACACGAAATTTTGTTAGTTAATGATTAAACGTATTTCTTGGTGTCTTCTTTATACTTGACTTGATAGTAATCCAGACTTGATTGTTTAGGTTCTTTTATGACTTTTTCATTCAGTTTTTTAACATAAATGTTTCGTTTATTTTTGTATTCGCTACTGTCTCTATCTACTTCTTTTGCTTGATAATTGTTATTGTTATCATATGTAGGTTTAATATTCAAGCTCTTTAAGATTTTCAGTATGTTTTCATTTTGCTCCAACACTTTTTCTAATCTTGGAAACAACAACTCTAAACTACTGTCAATGTTCGCTAAATGTTCCTCCATATATACTAAATTATAAAACTAAACTTTTAAAACTAAATGTTGCAATTATGTTAAATCTACTCTTTAAATACTAATTTTTCATTATTTGTTTAACAGTTTCCTGAGTTTCCTTATCACCATTATCTGATGGAGTAACTCCCCTCCCAAATCGTATAGCAATATTATGAACATCTGTTTCTAAGTTTATACTGTCTTTAGTTTTATCAATATTCATTTTCTTATCATTTCTACTTATTTTGAAACTTGTCGGAATACACGAACATTTACAATGTCCTTTCTTTTGTATTTCTAATTCATTTTTCATTTCTAACATCTTTTTACACATTGGACAAGCAAACTCAATAACTGATGTTTCTTTAACAATTTCTTCTTTTTCTTCATCAGTTGAAGAAACAACTGATTCTGTCTTATTCTTTTTCTTTCTTCCCATCTATATTAATATTTATATTTTTAATATATTGTATCACAAACTTAATTAATTCTAAAACAAAATAGCATACTTTCTTAAATCTATTATCAGTTATAACAACATCTTCTATATGTTGTACTTCATTTATTATATCAATATAATCTGTATAACTCCTTTTCATATTAAATAATAAGATAAATTATTTTTTCATTTCTGTCTTTCTTTTCTTATAAAGTTTTTTCATTGTATCGTCTTTATTCCATCTATATTCCACAAATTTCTGATGATGTTTTGAATTTAGATGTTTAAATAAATATTTGTCATCATAAGTTTTACCACAACTGCAATGGTTAATGACCATATAAATAATAAATATAAAATATTTTCTAAATAACTTTAATATTATTTTATTATGTCTGATGTTCCAATAATAAAACCAATAAATATAACTGATTACGATTTCAAACAATCTAAATATGAACATGTGCCAAAACTACCTTTTCGCTCAATTGTTGTTGCTTCATCAACGGGTGGCAAAACAGTTTTAATTCAAAACCTTATCCTAAATGTTTATAGGGACTGCTTCGCCCGTATATTCATTTTTAGCCCGTCGGTTCATAATGACCCTACCTTCGTTGAAGTCAAGAAATATCAAAAAGATAATATGAAGGTTGATGATGAAAAAGAAAAGTTATATTATGACACCTACCAACCTGAAGAACTGGAAGAAATAATTAACACACAAAGAAAGATAATTCATTATATGAAAGAACAGAAGATGAAGAAACTACATTCAATTTTAATCATAGTTGATGATTTTGCAGACGACCCTAAATTTGTTAGATATAGTAAGTTACTTCATGGACTGGCAACGAGAGGCAGGCACGACGCCATCAAAAATATCGTGTCCTTTCCAATCATTAGGTTGAATTCTAGTTCGTTGTATATCTTTAAGTTAAAGAATGTATCAGAGTTAATGTCATTCATTGAGGAAAACTCGGCCATCGTTGATAAAGAGCAACTGTTAAATATGTATCATAAAGCGGTAGATGATAAGCCATACTCCTTCTTTTATGTTAATATGAATTCCAAAGATGTTAATAATATGTTTTATGTTAGATTTGAGAAAGCTTTTAAAATAAAATAAATCTATTATATATTATAGAATGTTAAAAATGTTTCAAGAAAGAATATATGAAGAACCAGTAAGGTTTTTCGGCAGCGATATACCAAAACAGATTCAGGAATACCGAAAGCAAAGACTACAACAATTAGTAGAGTGTGAATGTGGTGAAAACTTTTTTAATGAAGGATGCTACTAACCATATTGAAAGTGATTGTCATATTACTTTTAAGGAAGAAGAAAGAATGAGGAAAGAATTAGAAGA